AATTCTTATAATTTTTAAATTTTCTTACAAATTAATAACTCTTTAATAAAGCTATAACTTAATAAAAAAAATTTTTTTGATTTGCTTTAATTTGAAAAAATTATAAACTTTTAGTTTCATAAAATTAATATTAAAATTATTTAATTGGCTAGTATTAAATTATATAATAAAATATTATTATATAATAATTACAGTCAAATCTCTTTATAATCACACTTATTTATAGTTATATCTCTCTATAGTCACTCTATTTTGCTTTTTTATTTATATATAAATATAATAAAAAACTTCTTTATAGTTACATTCTTTCTATAGTTATCAAATTTTATTTTTTTGAAAATAATGACTATAGAGATTTAACTATATAAAAATTTGGTATTTCTATAAAAAAGTGAATATTTATAATATTTTAAATTATATTTAAAATATAAATAAAAAATAATAGTAAAGCTTTAATTAATTAATAATTATGCTTAAATTAATTAATCACACAAATTAAAGATAATCTCCTAAATTATTTTTGAAAAAAATAGTATTTCAACAAATAATTTAGTTTTGTTATATTGTTATCATTCTTATATTGATAGGCAAAGTATTAATTAATTATAATAATTAATTAAGAATTATATAAGAGCGATAATAATGACTGTGTATACTTGAGAGAGTTGGATATTAGATAGTTGAAAGAGAGTATTAAAAAGAAATAGATTTTGATACTTCTACTAGTTAGGTAAGTATTTTATAATTTAAAAGTGCAAATAATTTATTAAAATACAAAAGATGACTTCCACTAGTTGGGTAAGTTAAAGTTAAGTAAATAACAAATCAAAAATAACAATAAGTAAAAGATTATTTAGAAATATTAATTAACTTCTATACTTTTATTACTTTTAAAATTACTATTAAGATTCTTGTTATTCTATATTAAATTATATCTATTTAAATATAATACAGATCTATATAGTGAGTAATATTACTTAAAAATAGTTATAAGATAAATTTGAAATAAGTATAATGCCAAGAAATAATAAGTGTAATACTAATTTAATCTAAGCAATATAATTAAACTTAGAGTAACATTAGCACTATATTAATTAATATTAAATGAAATTAATTTAAAATAAAATGAATTTAGATCTAATAATGTTATAATAAAATAAATAGTGCGATATTAAAAAGAATTGATTGATGTTTTTGATAAATTATGTGTAAATTAGATAAATTAAATAATTAAAAATAGAATTATAAATAAAAAAATATAAAAGGAAATATAAATAATTATCAAAATTATGTCACATAATATTTTATATGTAATCCAAAATATCAAATAGTGACAATATTGCTTATATTATTATAATATGAATTTTAGCATATCACATAATTTTTTATAGTTAATTTTCATTGAATAATTAATTTGTAAATCATATTCATATTTATTTTATATTATTCATATTTATTTTATACTATTTTTATAATATTTTATTCTATTTTTATTATATTTCATATTATTATTATTTTATTTCATACTATTTCATATTATTTTCATATTATTTTCATACTATTTCATTCTATATTTATATTATTTCATTCTATTTCATTTTATTTTTATATCATCTTATTCTATATTATTTATAATTTGTACTAATCATATTTAATTTATATTATTATTAGTATAAAAAACACGTGTTAATTAATCTACATAATTAAATTTGATTAATATTAATAATAAAATTTATGTAACATTAGAGCGAGTGATGTATAACTATCAAGTGAGTGAACAATACACAATCATCAAGCGAGTGCTTTTTGTAACCTTAATATTATTATTGTTTTGAGCTTTTGCGTATGAAAGTATTTCAAAATGACAATAATGACTGTGTTCACAGCAATTTACTTTGAATATTATAACTAAATGATATTTATAATAATAAATGATGTTTCTTGACAAGATAAAAGTAATGAAGATATTAAACTAATAACAAAACTAAACTAAAAGGTAAACTTAACCAAAAATTACTTATAATTCCAAAATAAAATCAATTTAACATATCAAACATGACATTTAACCAAAAAAAACTCAAAATCAAAACTTAAGAACTTAAAATATAAACTAGAGAACTTGATTTTTATTAATTATTAGCATTTGTATTTATATATATTTTCATATTACAGTGGCACAATATGGTACAGTAATGCGTAGTATGACATAGTAATGCGCAGTATGACACAGCATGACACAGTTGCAGCGTAGTATGTGGCACAGTAGATCTATACTAATACTATGAAATTATTGGTTCTTTTCTAAATTACACAAAATTTAACTATATTATAATTAATAATTTTGTTCTATATCTAAGTACTAATAGCAAAAATAGAAAATAAAGGCTAAACTAATATAGATAATAATAAAATTTACCAAGAAAATGGTGTGATTAATATATTCAAATAAAGATAAAAATAAGATAAATATAGAAAAATAAGTAATATGAAAAGAAAAAGAAGAAAATAAAAAAAATAGAAAGAAGTAGAATATTATCAAACTATCTATATAATTCAAATATCATTATAACAAATTTTTATCGTATTGCGTCTTTTGTTCACGTGTTCTTAAATTAAATTATTAATGATTATTGAATCAGTAACAATATCAATCAAAAATAGCTTTAATATTTGAAAGTTGAGTAACAATAATTTGTATAAATATAACATATATCTTAGTTTAGAAAAATAATCTTTTGGATAATAATTTTCTTGATTAGAATCTTCTTATATTTTTGAATCTTTCAAAATTTAATTTTTTTATCTTTTAATTTCTTTTGACAAAATCTTCTTAGAAGTGAGTTGTATTATAAGTCTTGAGTTGGAAATTTTCATTCAAGCATTAATTATCCTTTATTTTCTTATTTGTATTCTTTATTATTTAAAAGATCTCTCATCTGTAACAAGTAATGTTATTTATAATAACATAATTAACCTCTTGTCATTACTCTGCGAAGTTGATTAATATTATTTAGATTTATAATAAAAGAAAAAGATAATTTTATTAAAAGTTAATCAATAAAAGAAGATTACTTAACAATTAAATTATTTGAATTAAAAGAAGATTTCTGAACTTATTCTAGCAGTTCAACAAAACGAACATGTCATTACCTACTTTTATTAAATTAGTCTCTCCCAATCTTAATTATTTTAAAAATATATAAAAATCTTTAATAACTCTTCCACTTAATTGAAATACGTGAAAAATACGTAATCTATACTCGAAAGTTAATAAACCAACAGAAATGGTAACAATATTAATAAATACTTAAAAATTATCTAGAAATACTTGTTTTAGTTTATAAAATTCAAATAATTTCAGCTACTAATAAAATAAGTCAAAATAGTTTTGAATTTAATTTCAATAAATTAATTTCAGCAAATTATTTAATTAGATGATATTATTTTAATAACTATTCTTAATATAAATATTTTGTCATATATTATATATCAAAATAATTTTATACAATTTAATAATACAGTTAAATCTTTTTATAATTATCATTCTCAGAAAAGCAAAATTTGGTAATTATAGAGAGAATGTAACTATAAAGAGATTTTTTACTAAATAGAAAAATAAAATAGAGTAATTATAAAAAGATATAACTATAAATAAGTGTGACTATAGAGAAATATATATAGATTTTACACAAATTCTTTTTTAATATTACATAATAGTTATTGTATTTCAACATATTATAAATCTATACTTTTATTAATTTCTCTTTGTAATTTATATATGTAATAATATATAAATCAGTATAACTTGAATTCACTATATATATAATATAAGATTAACTTGAAATAAATTAAGAAAATTATTATCTTAGTTTTAACTTTTGTCTTAGTTTGTTTTTTTTGTTTCTTTTATTCACTTTATTTTTGTTTTGTTTGTTTTATTTTGTTTTTCTATTAATTTTTTTATTGTTTTTTTATTATTTTCTTTTTATTTATCTTTATTTTATTTTAGTTCATTTTTAATTATCATTATATCACTTTTATCTCTTATAATATACTTTTAACTTTAATTTATAGTATATATTTAATTTTAGTATCATTTTATTATCACTTAAATATATTCAATATTCACTTTAAATTTATATTCTTGTTAATTTATTATCATTAATTATCTATTATTATCAATTATATCATTCTTATTTAAAATCTATTATGAACACAGTTACTATTAGCCATTTCTAAATATTCTCATACAGTCACTATTAGCCATTTCTAAATATTCTCATACATAAGAACTAGAAACAGTAGCAATATTTAAAAATAAATAATATATACAGTAACAATCAAAATAATGCGATAATATTAAAATTTATTAATTAAATATAATAAAATACAGGTTTTTTTATATAAAAGTTTTCAATTTTAATAATAAATATTTTTTATTTTTACATTAAAATAAAGATAATATCACATATTTTAATATATATTTTTCAGATTTTTTAGATTTAATCTGATGAACTGTTTTAATTGCATATAAAATCAATTATTTTTTTATAATTAAAACATATAAAAAAATAATTGACTTTATATGCAATTAGAACAGCTTCATCAGATTAAATCTAAAAAATCTGAAAAATATATGTTAAAATATGTGATATTATTTTCATTTTATAATTAATATGCAATAAATAGGTTAATATTTTGTTTTTATAATTGAATTATATATTAATAATTGAAAATTATATCCATATATTATTAATATGTCCATATAAAAAATGTGAACAATTTAGACATATGATCATATTTAATATGGACAAGTGGTCCAATAATCCATATTTTAAATGACAACATTGCTCTGAAGCCAGCTTTTATTTTTGCTATACCTTCAAACCTAGATATTTCCGAAACGAGTTATTCTATTGACAAACACATTGAATTATTTTTTTGTTCGTAATTTGAATTAATCTATCGTTATATATTAATTATGTTTCATTACAAATAAACTATTCCTCAAAGTCCATGATAAAGCCTCCAGCATATTTAGAGGGCTCGCCTACTTGAACCTTTATCCCATCATCATAATCATCCACTTCCTTGACCTTACCCTTATTCTGCTTCTCTTCCTCCTCTTCATTATCATCATGCATTAACTCGTCCTCGTCATCGTGTTCGAACTCACTCTCGCCACTCTCTGCTCGTTCTTCTATTTTTTCAGCAAATTGTTGACTGACGCGTAGCCGAATCCGCATCTTGACGACGAGCTTACGCCATCTGGTTAACGCTTTCTTTCGTCGTTTCGCTGCTTCTTGTATTGCTACTACTTCTGAATGTTCTCTCCATGCCTTTTATCAGAAATCGAGACGCTGAATTATTGTATAATCAATTCCTATAATAAGCGATAGTATAAAGAGAGACAGTACCTCTAGGACAACCTCTTCATTCTCTTTAGCGACAACAATACCCTCAACTATGGGTATACATCGATGACAGTGAAAATCGAAACCGGTCTATATATCGTTCAATAGAAAAAGAAATAGAGTACTCGAAAAAAATGCTCAATCAATAGCAAATATTTAAGAAAATCACAGAGAAGCTTACGACAGCTTCGGCAAATTCAATCTCAAGTTTCTTGGCGACTTTGGCAATACCACGAACTACATAAAAAGCAATAATCATAATCAATAAAACAAATCTATGATAGTAAATAATGGCAATAATATAAAAAAGATGAGCTTACTTGGTATATGGACAGCTCCGATCGGACACATGCTTGGTTGGAACATGTCCACGTTACCATACGTGTTTACAGGAATCTTACCCTAAATTTGCAATAGAATTAATTAATCTTCAAAAAATATAATGTATTATGTAAAAAAGGTAACCATTACTAATACATACATCAATTATATGTTTCGGGTTATATGGGACTGTTTGCCATTCTGCATATAATCCAGATTCCCTTGGCGCATCGCCAAAGTATTCGGACATTTTATCTGTCTTTTTCTTGCTTAGTGTGACCGCACGAGCTTTTACATACTTCAGGGGTTGTTCACCTTCCTATATATTAAATATTACATGTATTCAACACCTAATTTAATAACGTCATAAAATGAGATATCTGTAATTTACCTTGATTTCGCGAGCATCCTTTAACCACGTTTCAACAGTGTGCAACTAATATTATGATGATTGATTTAATAATTTCGATTCACGTTCTTACGAAGAATTTTTATAATACCTGTTTAACACATTCACGTGGATAAATCGGTTCACCACGAATTTCCCCGAGTATTGGTTCCTTTGGATGTAGTATCTCGAATTTTTTCAAATGACGTTCAAGAACATATCTGTAAATTGTTTTAAAGTTATTCAATAATTTGAAACAGAAGTGAATCAAACACGAACAATAAAAAGACGTACAATGGATGATTATTAAAAGCGCTAATGGTCGTGGGAATCGCCTCAGAAATTTGTGTTGAAGATAATTCCTTGTCTTCTAATTTATCACGTTCCTAATTACAATTCAATTATTAGTCAAAAATCGAAAAGTGATAAGTTGCAATTTAAATAATACCGTTTCATAAAATCGAACTCGATAATTTAATGTTTCTTGCCACCAATCATATCCGTTTTTAGTTGGTTGAATTCGTAGCTTACGTGTATGTGCACCCCATTTAGAAGCATACCGACGAGTAACATCCTTAATAAAAAGGTCTGTTCATAATTAGACACAAATCATATGACAATTGTAATGGATCATCAATCAATCTTCACCCTTTTCAAAAGCCACAACATACGCCATTACATTATTAGTAGAAGAATTAACCGGTTCCATAGCGTGAGGATCATCAATGATGGCTCTTATCGGATCCACGCAAAACCATCTTTTATCAATTTCTGAGTATAATTCGCACCAATAAACCGGTGGTTCCTCGTATTCTGTAACTATTAATAAGGATCTTTAATTAGTAAAGCTAAAAGGATCAATCAAACATATTATATATAGTTACCACTGTTTGAGTTGTTTTTTGCTTTGGCAGAGCTATTCGCTCTTGCTCGTGATTTATTTGGAGAAGGTGGCTTAAAATCATCAGCGACTTCTTTTGTCTCTATAAGAACAATTGGCTCATAATAATCACTTTCTGCTTCTTCATCATGTTTCTCTTTTCCTTCATCATTTTCACTTGAACTATCAATCTTCAGTGCCCTTGATTTAGTTTTTTGGAGTCGAGGTGATCTGCGAATACTTTTTTTAGTAGAAGGTTGAGAGTCGCTATGTTCGGAACTTTCATCATTTTCACTTTGATCTTTTGCAGCAGGTGTTTCATTCTTTGTCTGGAAAGCATATGAACGAAGTGATCGTGTTCTTGAGAGTAGGGTAAAACCTTTTTCATCTTCAGAACCATCCGAATCAGTATTTTCCATTTTGCGACTTGGACTCTCTTTTGATTGGGACGCATTTGATTGATTTACTTGAGTAGTGAAATACTTGCTGACTTTTCCCGTGGTAACAATTTTATCCTTACTTTCAGTCTTGACTTTTTTGCAACTTGAAGAATTATTGATGCTGCGTTTTCTTTTAGCTTCTTGGGTATACACAATAGAAGATTCTTCTTCGACCTCATCTTCTTGATTATTTTTCGAAGTCACCTTAAAAGAATTTTTTCGTTTTACAGGTGTTTTCTTTATCGCAGGCTTTTTAGCCGCAAATTTAAACGAAACAGCTTGCAACGAAATTATCAATCGAGCAGAAAAACCTAATGATCTCAACAACGCGACAAACAACTGTGCAGAAGTGTCTTTGCTTCCTTTGCCTTCTTTGATAGCGGTTCGAAGAGCGTGGACAGAAGGAACCCAATCAGCAAAATCTTTTTGATTCTCCTATGTAAAGATCTTATAAATTTGCCATACTCAACAATTGCAAGTTAAATTATTAATAAAACACGCGTGACGTACCTCTGAAACTCCCTTCACCCCAAATTCATTATAATCTCGGGAACAAATTCCAAGTCTAGTAATATCAAAATAATCTCGCCACCACGAACATAAAGGATCTAATAGAATTTTCAAATCAGATATAGAGTGATCCTCTACATTCTTTGAAAAACCTTCAAGTGAACTCGCTGGAATCAACGAACATAACAGTGCCTAGGATTTCAACGACGGATCAGAGCTTGTATGTCGAAAAATAAAATTTAATATGCGCATAATTATATGAATAAAGAACTTTACTTGCGTAAGCGTATCATTACACCATCTGTTTCGAATCATGCCATGTGCTAAAAGAGACATCACGTGTATTTTGTGAATCCCAGTTCGAATAACACGATCCATTTTTGAGATTCCGCGTGCTCTATAAAAAATAATATGAATCAATTGAGTTTACAAATAGATTGAAAATAAAGAAAAATGACCGTTATTTGAGTTAACAAACTCACTTTATTGCTGGAGCGGAGAAAGTTATTTCGATTGTTTTCTCTTGCTCTGGTTTTAGCTTCACATAATTGTCATAAGAGTATTGTGGTTGTGCTTCATCTACAAGATCAGCAACTCAAAATCAAATCAATTCTTTTAAAGTCAATAGAGTTTCTTATTAGAGCATACTTGGTTCATATTCGGGTACCACTACCTCTTCGAATTCATCACTTTCATCCTCTCCATCTTTATTTCCTGATTGAATAAGACTTATCGGTTCATCATGCTTCCCAATATCTTTCTCTTGCACAACTTCTTCATCATTTGAATCAACATCCATAAACTCAATTTTTTCATATTCGTTTCTTGATTCTCTTTTAATAGTTTTTTCTTTATTACTTTGCGACAAAGATTCAACGTCAACCGTCTCCAAGAAACTTTTACTGCCATCAGAATGCAACACCACCACTTGTTTATCTGTTTTGCCTTTTGATGCTTTGGTAGCAACAGCTTTTCTATTGGTTCTTTTAGTTCGCATTTTTCTTGTTAGAGACGCGTGTAGTAGATTTTAAAAAACCTTTTGTGAAATGTGAAAGATTCTACATGACTAATAATGATACGCGCTGCTATATTTGATTGGTTAAAAGTAAAATTCTTCAACCACCTGACTTTTACACAAACGTGATTTGAGTTGAGAATTTGATAATAGCGAGAGTACCATGACAACATTGAGAATAACGGTTGAAAACCGACAATTTGTGTTATTATTGATAATTCAAAAGGAAATAAGCTTAGTATCATTATCTAGTCTTTTTGATACCTGGAAAATTAAACTTTCAATAACAAAAAGAAACGAAGCAACTTTTAATAAAGGTGAATTTATATAACAAACATTTAGGGTTCTTAAATCATATATAGTTTCCTCTCATTAATATTTAGGAATCATTGTGTTCATTATACGTATCTGTACAGATGACTTATGAATCATGGATATTTATTTAGCAATTACCTAATTTCTTTGATTTATAATAGAAAAAATAAATCCAAACGCCAACTATTTACAAATTGATGATACACTGGGCAATTCGAAGTTTCTTGTTAGAATATTACAATGTCATGCCTAAAATATTGACAAGTCTTTAATAACATCTATTTAACTTATTTTTCTAAAACAAAATTCCTATTCTAATTCTAAAATCTAATGTGTTATTTTTTTCTGATAAAAATCAATCAATCATCTTACGCCTAACAACCATTTTTCTTCGCGATCAAAGTCAGTGAGTGTTTCCAGCATGTTTTGGAAATCTTTTGTCCTAGATCTTTATGACTAATAATCAATAAGTATGTTTCTTCCTAATCATTATCAACATATGTAAAATAATCTTACATTCACAAATTTAACAATTCGTGAAATGACACTTTCTGATATATCGTTGTCGTTTTTCGGTGTCTATATAAAGATAATTTGAATTAAATCACAATATTTTTATAGGGATCAAGAAGATTATTATGCACGTATCATTATTCCTTGTTGTTTCTTACACATATTCAAAATGCCAGTCAATGTATGTGTGTAATTTGTTCCGGAGATCATAAAAATAAGAATAAATTTATTTGTAATAACTGCATTTTAATTGGCTAATTAGAATCTGAGTTAGGGTTAGGGTTAAGATTCTGGATATATGATTGGTTAACATTGAAGTTGTTACATGTAACAGTTGTTACAATTAGATTGATCCTAAAAATAAAAGAAACAAATACCTAAATCTGGTCTGGAGTGCTAATAAAAAATGTCGGGAAGACAATTTTACATATAATCTTGTTCTCTGCCTCTAACCCTAACCTTAAAACCAACTTTAACATTAATCTTTATTACTGTAGAATTTTCCGAAAACACACTAACCATATTGGAATTTTATATATATTTGAGGTTACACTGGGGTGTACATAGATGCTTCCCGACGCGTGTTGATGGGTGAAAAATACATTTTTATACGTCGTTACCAAATCCTTCATAAAGCATGTCTCGCACTTGGAGTGCCTATTTCGATGTAACCCGTCCCGAAGATTATCGTTTTCTAAATTTTTACGAGTACCGATTACAACAATCCGACTTCACCTCTTCTTTTCGACAAGAGTCTGACAAACTGAAAAAGGATCTCGCTATTCTGATAACAAATGGCTCGGACAAAATGAAGAAGGTGCTAGTCTGCTAAATGAAAGTTTTAAGGCAAAGTTTTTTTTTATCATCGTTTTCTGCATGGCTGGTTGGCAGAGGGAGGCTTCCACAGCTATGGTGGGCACCTGCTTGCTGCCCACCTTACGGTCTGCTTGCCCGCTGTGGAAAAGGAAAACCCTCACAACTACGGTAGACACCTGCTCGCTGTCTATCTTACGGTCTGCTTGCCCGTTGTGCCTGCCTCTAGCCATGCCTATAGTCATACTTATTTATACGATACTAATTTATGTGAATTATAGGGTCATCAGGAATATTTTAGTGAAGTTGATGCGTTTTGGTTGGAAATTGAACTACACGAAGAATTGCATGTCATTGAGGTTTTTTATTAACTAATTTTTCTGATCTATCTAATCAAATTTATGCCCATATTGACTGTATTTTTTCATAACTGGAGGTAGAAGCTTCTAAATCAATTATGCACGATACCAAGAATGTTATTGATACTGCCATCGGAAATGCTCGTTCTACTATCAAGAACATAAATACTAGACTGGTATGAATATATTGTGGTAATTGTGGAATCAGTAGAAGGATAAAATCAAAATGGCAATTGTTGCCATCGCACCGAGTTATCTTTATTTTGGTGTACGATGCACCAAAAATCATATTGCCTTCGGGAATACGGAAATTTCAAAATTCCTGCAATTTAGCAGGATCTTCCTGTACTAGCTGAAGCAATTATAACCTGCCTGAAATTTCTTTGAGAATAATAAATGATTGTTTACATTCAGTCCTTGTATTTGCCAAGCGGAAAGTTCACACAGTAAAGCAAAATCCACCAACACCAAACCGATCTAAGAAGCAAAAGCATTAGCCATTAAAGCAAAAAAAAAAAGGAATTGAAATATAATATATGGAATATATTTCTTAAAATAATTTTATTCTGTCTAAAATTATGAAATGATTTACTGCAAAATTATCGATTTTTTAACGTGTGGGAGTGTGTACGTATATGCATCAGAATTATAAAATACTAGTGTTATATACTATATGCAATTAATTTTCTTGCAAAAGTGCTCGGCGTGAAAATACGTGGTTTTTTATTTATAAATTTAAAGAATTATCAATTATACAATTCGAATTTTTAACAATAACGATAACCTCTATTACTGTAGAATTTTTCCGGACATACACAAATATCACATGATCCGACACATTTTTTTTGCCATGACTAGGGTTCTAAGTCTTTTTTAGTGACGTTAAATATCAGTTAATGATTGATATCTTTGAAATTTTTTTACCTTGGCAAGAAATCAAATGACAAAGAATATATTTAGATTAATCAATTAATCAGATGGATATCGATTGACTTAAGGACTTCATACAAGTTACATATATAAAACAGCAATTAATTTCAGTGCTGACTAATTAAGCAAATAAATTACAGAATGGTGGCATTACACGATAAACTCTATTTTATTTATGTATTATTGTTGACTTTGGTTAAATGCGTGATGCCACAATCACCTACGAATTCAAGTCTCATCGAAACTTCTGCAATTATGCCAAATATTTCATCTAGTAGTCCCACTCGTTCATTCATTACCAACAAGCCAGATAATGATTTCTCAAACACTGCCAATGTCACGTCTTTTATATCTATCAGCACCATCATCATAGCCTCAAGAACTTTAAGTTCATCCGGTTCATATTCACATACACCGAATCCAACATCCGCATCATATTCTTCGACACAATTGCCCTCGTCCACACATGATTCCCCGTTCAGTCACAGCAACACCGAAGCTCAGTCGACTCAAATTCCCACAATGTCGATTAGTCAAACAACAACAAGTATCACTTCTAGTTACGTGACAGCCAGTAAGACGGCATATAGCAACTATAAGATTAGAATTAACTTGACGGGACCTAGAGAAATCATAACTCCGAATGCTAATTTATTTAGTCAGGGAGAAAAACATATTGATGGATTCTTAATCAATTGGCGGGGGGTTTTAATCAATTTGAATTTGTTGTATATTATCTTTTAGTATGATAATTTATTTTGCTTTCCGATATTTAAAGCGATTGTATATATGAATATGTAAATAAACTCACAAGATTCGTGAAAAAATTTATTTTCCTCTAACATTATTAGAAAATAATTAAATCAAATAGACCTTAAAATCAATCTCAAAAAAGTTTGAAAAATAATAAAATTAATCAAACTGATTCTCTTTGAATTTGTGTCGAATTTTCATCAAACAACTTCAAGTGCTTTATCAGTAAATGACAACCAAATTGTGTCATGAACGAAAACACTTTCGTAAAAAAAACTAGGAAACTAATTTCTATAAAAGCAATTGTTTTTATCCTCAATAATTCATTTTCTAATTCTTATAAATAATTAATTTTCATCTTGGAAAATTTTGATAATTTCTTGACTAATTTTTTGTTAGTTTATTTTGAACAATAATAAAAATTATTATTATCTACCACCACCTAATAATAAAGTGAAAATGGCTCAATACTTTTTCCAACATCATTCTCGCGTTCCCTATCAATCCGGCATTGGTGCTGCTGGCACTACTGGCCTTTTACGAAACGATTTCGCTCCTTGGAAACGAGATCTTCAACAACTGGGTGGTTTACATTTGGATTGCAAAATTCAAAAATACCCTACTAAATATCAATACGCCAATATTGACCATAATAATAACCAAGAGAATTTCGCAAAATATCGTCATCAAATTAATGTCAATAAATTTCCTATCAACAACAAAAACGCGACAATCCTCCCCAGTTTCTTTGACAAGCCGCAATACATTCAATTCAGAATTCAATCAATCACAATCGATGACGAGTACTTCGATGGGAAAATAGCCTCGAAAACTTCGCCACCGTTTTTAGGAATGGGAAATTTGCGCTATCATTATGTCAAAGGAAGTTTTGGATTATATGTGAACGATAATACTGTGAAGATTCTGATTCCCATCGAGGCGTTGGATGAGATTGCAACGAGTGATTTGAATTCCTTCGTATTGAATTTGAAAAACAATGGTGGTTCTTTTGTGAGTATCAGTGTCTCGAAAGTTTTGAAGTTATTTTCCGTTTTCATTAATTAAATGTTATAAATATTACAGATCAATTACAAAATATTGGATGAAACGTTTACCAATAAAAAAATAGCACTGGACCTCAGTTAATATCCTTTCCCAATTTAATAAAATTATCAAACTTTGTTTTGGTTAATCTTTGCTCATTTCAATTTAGAAACCGCACAATCCATGAAAATTATCGCGTGCGAAGACACACCAGCACAGAAAATTGATATGACCATATTACACGTCAAACATGAACTTAAGATACTTAAATCGCTTGACAAAGAGCAGCAACAACAGCTAGAAGAAAATGATGCAAATGCAGCCAGTGGAAAAGGAAAAACCGAAGATCTCAGTGATGAAGACGAAGGGGACCTTTTGGGTTCTAGTGGAGAATCAGCTTTCGCGGGGTGGAGTTCTATTTTGGATCAAAGTCTTTTCGATAAAGTAAATGATTTATTTATTTTTACATTAAATAGATAATTTCAAACTACTGTTATATTTACTTTTCAAATAGAAGTGTGACGACATAGAAAATAACAAAGACACTTTCGATAAAGATAAAACCAATAGAGAATCCATCACCAATTCTGGAACTTTCTTAGTGAAATTTCACAATTCCGAAGAAATTCGCGTTTTCCAATTTTTCAATGAAGTCACTTATGATGAAATAAAATCATCTATTCAAAAAACTTGTGGTCTACAAGAAATTCGAAAGTTGAAATGCAAGGACGAAGTCGGCGAGATGATTACGATCACTAGTCAATACGACTTCAACACCGCTTTTGACTTTTACGCGACAAACAATAAATTGGAATTGTGGTTGGCTCAGTGAATTATAAGACGAGATGGGATTCTTTTTAATAAATGATATTATATTTTTTCTGATTTTAATTTACAAGTAACTTTTTTATGTATCGAACCTTATACCCTATCTAATTTTATAATGTCATAAAATAGAATATAATAATGAACTTGTTTTGAAGAGATTTAGAAAATTACATATAACGATAGCAGTGTTGACTGTAGTATTTTTATTTTTTAATTCTTGTATAACAATATGAATTGGTTTTATTTTTCTTTATTTTGAATGTATTCATAGGATTCCACACTACATTGTTTAACAACCGCTTTTCAAATAGAATGTTACGATGAGAGAGTACCATCTGAAAAGCAAGCATATATCAACTTTCTTAATAGAGGCGAAAGATATAACTGATGTTACCGTATGGGATATCAACATGGCCAGCTGTTAGACATTCCACTTGACGAAAATCGTTTCAATCGTAATTTTAGACCAGTATATCAATAAATTTTAAAGCTCCCATTAATTCTAGTTATTGACTCTGAACGTTTGCTCGTTGTTAGTTTGAAATTCAATATTCATATTTAAATTATGATAATTTATGGTCTAATCAAATAGTACTTTGTTACGAGAAAAAAAATGCGTTATAAAAATGGTATAGGAAAGCTTGATTAAACTCGGGTATCTGTTCACTATACTCTAATCTCCATACTCACTCCAGTGGACATTATAGCGGGAAGGGTCTTCATCTTCGCGTTAGGTCCATTTCTTAATGGAATCAACTGTGATTTGAAAATCTGGATGGTTCTCATTCCACCATGCAACGAATTTTTCAGGAGTTGTGAGCCCTTTCGTCTTGAGGTCGAACAAGTATTTGGGATCGGGAAATTTGTGGATTTCTTCGTACATTTTCTTGAGAGAAACTTAATTTTGGAATGAAACATGAACAGTTAGTCTGGCGGTCTCCAAGAAATCTTACTGAATCAGAGTCGATCAGATAAAATACGGATGCTGAGCTTAATTTTTAGCGCCTTAGACTCTTCAGAGTCACTGTCGTCGTCGTCAGGCGAGTAGGACAAATCATCCTCTAAAAAACAAATTCAATATTTAATAATACTTGGAAAAGAGCGGTGTTCTCAATACCTTATACAGTGGTCGTCATAAGTATCCAGAATTTAGTTTTTTAGGTACAACTTCACGAAAATTCATTCAAAACATATGAAATTCCATATATATAAAATATATTATATGGGAAACAAGTTTATCTAATATCACAAATACACTTAAATTAATAAAATTTTGCGTAAATTTATGCTAAAAATTGTGAATTGGAACATTTAAAAATTAAGAAGGATAACAAGATTCTAAAAAAATATTTTCACTAATCAATTTTGCAAATATTTTTAAGGAACATATTTTCATATCTTAAAGAATATATCTATAATTTTTCAATTGAATTTACTTCATAATTATTTCATAATGGTCAATTAAAAAAAGGTATAATTTTGCTAAATTTCTTAATAAATCATAATAAAAATAAAAAAATTCAATTTTTACTATGATTTATTAAGAAATTTAGCAAAATTATATATCTTTTTTAATTGACCATTATGAAATAATGATGAAGTAAATTCAATTGAAAAATTATAGATATATTCTTTAAGATATGAAAATATGTTTCTTAAAAATATTTGCAAAATTGATTAGTGAAAATATTTTTTTTAAAAGTCTTGTTATCCTCCTTAATTTTTAAATGCTCCAATTCACACAATTTTTAGCATAAATTTACGTAAAATCTTATTAAGTGTATTGCGATATTAGATAAACTTGTTTCCCATATTATATATGGAATTTCATATGTTTTAAATGAATTTTCGTGAAGTTGTACCTAAAAAACTAAATTCCGGATATTTATGGCGACCACTGTAAAACATCTTAGACCACACAGGGTTAAAGTTTGTGAATACGTTCCCGAAATAAAGCCTGTTTGATAAGTAAAAACTAAGTTTCGACTATAATAAAACTATATTTTAAACCATATTATTGGCAAAAATTTGGTAGTCAAGACTACTAATTTTGGCCACAGCCCTAATTTCTACAGAACATTATATTTTGTAATTTTCGAATATAAAAAATGCTGATAAAGCAATTAATTTATTACCTTCAAGGAATTTTTGAACACAATAAAAAAAATCAATGATGATACTGCATCAAAGCATGAAGCTAGCTACAATATCTACACGGTACTACGTCTAGAATTATCCAAAGACAATTTTTATTAAATATCCTAAAGCAGATAAAGTAAAATAACGCGTTTATTAACATGCTCAGCAAATTCTTGTCATTTGCTGCTATTGCTATCTTCACAATCTTCAGCAGCATTTTAGTAAATGTTATGACTAAAATTTATATGAAAAACATGTAGTTTCAGTTCCAGCGTTGGCTGCATTTGGTGCTGGTGCCAGTCACGCAGCTTTGCCCGTAATTTCTGAAATTTCACTTATGGTTCAAAACCCTGCTGTTAAAGAACGTACTTTCAATTTACCATCCTTGGTTGCTCTTGGTTCTGGACCTGTAATCGCAACTCTATTAACCACATACTCATGTCTTCTAAAAGTCTTGCCGCTTGCCGTTCGCTGCTTTCCCTGGAGTTGGTGTCTTTCCAAAATAGCATAGTACTTGTAGTGTTTTTTTTTTTAGCTCTTTGAGCTAATTAAGAATCAAGTGTAAACGTTATGAAATAGTATTTAATATAAAATACTATCGCTATGTATAATAGAATTTATTTATTTGTAGCCCATCCAATGAATAATTCAAATGTCAATCACTAGGTTACGTTGACATTTTTTATTAATCCATGGGTTTTTTTAAATTGCCAATTTTTATTGGATCATTTATTATTATTAGTAAAGACATCGATAAATTGGGTTTTGGAAGTTCCCATTTTTTAATTTAATTTCGAGCCGGGAACATACAAATGCATCGTCAGAGGATATTATTGTAGATCAAGAATTACCCGTGTGCTTGACAATTTTTATATCCTGAAGGTATTATATCAAGGGGATAGATAATACAATATGCAGTGCACTACGGTATTGTCGTCTTAAAAATAATTAAATTCATAATATGTGCAGAAAATATATACCTTAAAATTACGTAATAATTTAAAACTAATTAACATGAGAATAATCATTGCAATTTTCGTTATTGTATAAAATTACAACATAATAAAACTACAGCACCCCGTATTCCCGCGTGGTCCCCCACCGCAGTACTGACGAGGCCATCAGTGGCTTAACTTCGGAGATCAGACGGGGTCCGGTGCTTTTCACTGTGTATGGCCGTAGTTAGATGAAAATTATGAATAATTTTATTTGTATAAAAGGAAAAACTCTATTTTGCATAATTAACTAAATTTTATCACTATATAAATTATATATATGTTGTTAAATTAGTGATTAATTGGCCAGAATCAAGCTATTGTCTGGTCAAAATCATGAAGTATTTAAATTAAAATGGTCACAAGAAAATATAGAGCTTTGATTGGTCAGATCGATCAATCTATACTGAACAGTCAAAACTGGATATAACGATGGATCGGTTCAGCTCGAAAATGAGTGTTATATAGAAAATCGTTATAAAAAAACAAGTGTATTTTATTTAATCAGGAATTTGGAAAAAGTTCGCAATAACCATCTCGCTATATAAGGAGATCGTTATATCCAGGTTTGACTGTATGGTTATTTTTAAAATTTAAATTACTCGTTTTCTGATTCCGTAGTTTCCATATATAGAGTGTAACTTTTCTAAAAATCGGCATTTAGCTCAAAAATTAATACGCGCCACTTGTAAACAACATCGATGGTAATATCGATATTAACTACGTACGATAATATTAAAGCCTCAAAAAAATCAATCTTGTTTTCAAAGTTATTTACTGAGCTGTGCAACTTACTTTCTTGAATTATAATTGTTTATATACGTAGTTTATAAATAAGGGGTGTGTCTTTATTTGTCGTAAAAATGATACTTTAAATTACCCATTCACAAAAATCTTTTTTAAATGCCAAGATATTCAATGTAACATGACGCATAATATTTTTTGGGACAGTCGGGGTTTGATAAATATAATAAGTCATTTAAATGACCATACATATCGATGTTGATATATATTCAATTCTTCACATGATTGAGAATACTACAAACTCTTAAATATTTTTGAGAGGCCTGGTAGCGAAAAACGCATGTCTTGTATCAAAGAAATTACGAAGCACAAAAGTTTTCCTTTTCAAGAGATTTTTCTACCGCTACGTTACAATTATATTTTAAGAATAAACAGAATCATTGCATAACGATAACTGTTGATAATCAAGTTACGAAAACAAATAATCACGGATGGTCCTTTATTTTGAGGGGTAAGAATGATTATCGATGAAGTCTCCCAAAAATAACTAATAACGTCATTCATTATTCCTAAACAAGTTTTTGCTCAGAACTAGCTTTGCGTTTTATTAGTCCCCATCTTCCATTATATCGATCGATATCGATAGGCTTTTGATTAGTCGTTTATACTGATTGCCTATCTTTCATTATATATCAATATTTTACATACTGATTGCGTCATGGGACTTTTACTCTAAAACTTGCCTTATTATGGGAACAGTGGTAAGGATATGAATTAAAAAAAAGAAAGGATATGAATTAAAAAAAAAGAAAGGATATTAATTAAAGAAAGGGACTTGGAAATATGTTCAATTAGTGGTGGATGATATTTCGAACAATATCATATTACGATAATATTTAATAATGATGACTCACACCAAAGCCAATCAAATTTTTATGCAAAGAAGTAGTACTTCCAAAGAGAATGCACAGCAATGCTGAAATCTGCGGCTTGGTGAACAAATAAAAAAATAACGTATGATTTAGGTCAACGGGAATGGTTTTCATTAGCAACAAACATTTATTCCACGAGTAAAAGAACTTGATTTAATTCAAAATAATATTATCAATCGAGTTACAGCATCCCCCTTATTAATTCTTCTTTCATTGTGCTGACATGCTTCACAAATAGATTTCTTTCTATATATGAAAAAATTGTTGGAAAGGAAAGTATTCTATATAGATTAATCCCTTTCAATAATAACAATAATTTGCATGGATTACACAGCGCTCGATTTAAATCATAGATCAACCTGTTTTATTGTATATATGTGAAATATTGATTGTTGTGTGAACATACGGGTGAAGTAACGCTAATTGGTATAATGAAACCGTAAGGCATTTATTGAAGATTGTTAAATTAGAGTTATCAGTTTTATTAAAGGTACAAAGTTTTTGTATCAGAATGTCTACGTAAGCGTTGTGTATCTTGTAAGCAGTACGATTAAGAATTAGAGATGCAAATATCTATAAAACAGATTTTTACATAATTTTTTTTTATTGTCGGGTTTTTCAATGGATGTGTTTGTGTTTGTGTGTGTGTGTGTGTGCGTGTGAATTATGTACAATGAATTGAGCGAAAATAGTAACGATAACAAATTTGAGAAAGTGCAGTACGCATTCTAACAGTTTTTTTTGTTTTTTTTTTATTATATGCGTGTAGATAATTGATTTGCTGAAAGGTCTTTTTTTTGAAGAAAGTGTCATTTATCATTTTTTTTGAATTTCGCTTTAATTTACGACTTTATGAATAATTTGAAACTCAACATAGAAGATATTCAATATTTCAATATTTCGAATTTTTTACTGCTACTATTTTGATTTTTTTGTTATTTACAAAAAAAAAGGTGGAAGAGGGGAAAGAGAAAAGAAGGTTGTATATGCGTATAATGTACGTGTGTGTATAGGGAAATGAAAAAGTGCGTTTTAAAAAAAGAAATTTTTGGATTGACGCGAAAATAAAAACAAAATGCCTAACTAATAATCGGCTCGCGCAATCATATGAAAAAAGAAAATTTGTATATAGAGCGTAGAGATGATGAATAAAGAATGTTTGTATAAGAATTTTTTTGGACACGTGATAATAACAACGCGTTTGCCGGAACGCCGAAGTGTTCATAAATAAAATCTCTCATTTTTTATATCATTACTGGCAACCTTTGCACGGGATGATATCGGTGTGGGTGGTGGTGGTGATGAACGAAATGATGGTGGTGGTGATGGAGCGGTTGATTTTCGCATTCATTTTTTCGCAACCGGTTTGCTGTGGATTGGGATGCGAAAGTTGTGGACTTTATTGCCACTAAATGATAATTTCTTTGATGTTTTTTGGAAGATGTAGAGAAATAATGCTGCTGCTGGTTATTATGCTGGTTAGTAGATGTATTGTTATTCGATGATGTTATTGTCGAAGTCGACGTCGGCTGATAATTAAACGGGAAGAATTTTTGGTGCATTCGCTTGGAGATGAAGAACTGAGATGAGAATGGTGAAGTGGGTGAAGATGAGTAATAAGAGCCAGTAGTTGAGGATAAGGATTTTGAAGTTGATGACGATGCTATAGAAACACCATTAGTATCCTGTAGACGACATGCTTCCGAACAATATAAAGTACCCTATAAAACAAAGAAGACACACGAAGTTGATTAAAACATGGAAAAAAAGAGATACGCAGCGACAAAAATTCAACAGTATTGTTAAAGCTTACCGAAGTATGCTGAGAGCAAGTGAGACACCAATCCAAATCCATGATTTTTTTGTTTTAAAGTATTATTATTATTATTCTGATGATTATTATTATCAAGTAACAATGATAAAAGTTATTTGAGTTGATGTTTTTTTAGGTGGCGATGGATGGTGTCTCTCTTTCGATATAAATATAAGTGTAATAGATTATATCGAATAACGAAAAAAAAGTGGTCGATAGAATTTTCGGAGACAAGATATATAAGTTTTTTTGAGGTGATACAAAAAATAAATAGGTAAAGAATAATTATACATATTTCTTCGAGGGGTCCTTATTACTATATACTTGTTTAATTTATTTATTTATATATATCAAATAGTGCGGCGATAATCAAATAACAATAAACTGTATATTTTACTAGTTGATTTGATTATGGGGTGATCGATGATGCAATGTAGAGAAACGACGACAGCGGCGACTCTTATTGACTAACGATTACAACGACTGTTGCGGATAGAAAGAAACGGGATAACTGTTAATTATTTATTCCATGAATGGCAAAATATCAAGCGTAGCAAAGTAAAAGTAAACTGGGCAACAATTTCCGCTGTTTCCGCTGTGCTCACTAGTTAATCAAATTAATTGTATTCTCTTCTGTTCTCTGCCTGTGCAGGTCGTCTATCATTTCTTCGGCTAGACTCTTTCTTTTTCCATTTTCACACATTTCATCATTATTATTTATATTGATCTAAAATGATTATTTCTTTTTTCCCTCTTGCTTTCTTTCTACTTCTGTGTGTGTCTGTGTGTGTCTGTGTGTGTCTCTGTGTGTGTGTGTGTTTGTGTGTTTGTGTGTGTGTTGTGAAACAATCATAACAAATTAATGATAATAAAAAATGATTACCCCGATTTTATTACCAATTCCTGATGTTAAAATTAAAATACACCAGTTAATAATTCCAAAGGAATTCTATATTCGGCCAATCACCACAAGCGTTTGAATCCAATTGACAACATCTTTACCAAAAATTGTTCAAATATGGTGCAATGTTTGGAATGCATATACCGAATTTTATTAATTAATAATCCTTTCGAAAAGCCAAAACTATTTATTTTACCAGAAAGATGTGAATACTTGTTGATAAACCGGTTTCGTTTTTTTTTGGGGGATCCTGTTTCTGTAGTCCGTTAATCCTATTCCATTATCCATTCGCCCACTTTTAAGCGATTGTGAGCTTTCTTCTTCATTCTCCCATTGACGCCGACTTGTTGTACAACGGCAATAATCATATAAGAAAAAAGAAATAATGATTATATATTCTCAAGAATTTTTAGTTACACTCGATAAAAAAATCTCTTCCATCAATTTTAACCATAGATTACGTGAGATGGTCGGAGATGTATTAACGATCTGGTGGATGCGTGAGAATATTTTCTTTGTAGTTTTCGGCATGTTTTTCTACGTATTTATGACTCATATTGTTTGATTTCTAGCCCGAATTTATTCTAGTTTAGCTTATGATAATTAATGGCTTTTTTATTTTAATGGGGCTTAATTTTTTCGTGTTTCATATTCCCCTCGGATTGACAGGCTAACCATTCGAACTGCGTATGTTAAGTTTATGCCATTTCAGTAAATATGGTTTCAATCAATAAACAATCTCTCAAAGTTCATGTGTTTGAAATGTGTCAACGTTTCATTTTAAACAAGTTTTTAAGGGTTCTTCGATCAATTACTTGATGAGTACCACAACCGAATACGTAAAATATTTAATACTTGGTTACTCATTAAGGTGATATGACGCAGAAGAAACTTTTTCTAGAAGATTTTTTCGATTATATGCCATTCCATTTTAGAATCACCGAGTACCGATTTCAATAAAAACTCGCGATACCCACTTTTTCTCTTCCCTTTATCCCTTCCATTGCATTTTATTTCTCATCTCTTTATTATGTTCACATTGGTGATGCAACGATGATTGGCTAAGCGGAAGAAGCGTCCGATAATGGATGTTGTTGTTGCCTCTGTGTGCATATACTTGTTCGGAATCGAGTTTCTTATTTGGTGGTCAATGCTTTATCCTTTACAAAATGATATTCAAATCATTTGCTAAAAGTATTTAGCATACAGCATCTAGAACGAGAGTGTAAACACATCGTTTCGATCCTACGAGATGCAGACACATCATTCGTTCAACGATTCTTGCTTCGATTCGTAATTTAACGAGCTAAAAGTAGTGTCGTAAATTGTTAACCCCTATATGATTCGAATTTACGAGCGTTGATTCTCGATGTGTATGTGTTTGTACTTGGGAAATTCGATTCTTGAACTGTTTTGATCGTATATTTAGAAGCAATAAACCACCATCCGAATATCTTGACGGCTATTTTTTGTATTGATAGTATTATTATGCACTTAAAAAATGCCATCCTCACGACTTCTAATCAAATTAAATTTAAATTATAAATTTAAGTAATTTCCTCTCCGCATAAAATACCTTAATATTCACATAAATATTATGATACCCATATGCATCTTGTACTTAATCCTCCGGGACCCGAACTACCAAATAAATCTCATCCATCACCTTATTCGTCATTTATCTTAAAAAATTCACAAGCGTTTATCCCCTCGCTTTCGCGTATCTGTTATTTGCATTTCAAACCCAATTAATGAATTGCTGTAGATTGGGTAGGGTACCTGCATTCTATTTGGTACCCGTGTTGGGATTTTCAATGCATACAATATAGAGAATGGAATTGAAATATTTATTACATCTCGATTAAGATATCAATGGTATCGAAATACAGGAACAACAATGAAATGATGGGGATGAATGGACATCGATAGCTTGAAACATTATCATTATATATATATATACTAGATTTCCCATGAACGAATGCATTTAGTTTCTTTTCGTCGCGCTTTATTATTAGCGAAAGCAATGTTTATATCGATTAGGCTTGTTGGCTCGATTTTAAGTAAATTGGTGGCAAAAAAAAGACGCGCGAGACCAATTTAATCGATCATTTTTCTTTTTTCACATTCCACCGCATGAATAAGACTGTTTTTGCGAGAGTAATGCTGAAAACGGAAAGCAAACTTTCGAAATAAGTTCAATGCATCGTGGAAAATTGGAAACAAGCTAATTTTTCTTTGGATTTTTGAGAACTTTGGAATTGATTTCTTTATTTCTGGTTTTCCTTTGTGTCATTATTTGTGCACTCCTTTGTAGAACAATATTAGAAAGGAGAAAGGTCACTTGGCAAAAAAAAGATCGATCCATAATCCCAAAAAAATCAAAACTTAATTTAACTAGTAAAATTTGTGGCTCGTCTGACGTATTCGCGCATGTATTTATATTATGTTGTAATGAATTATTTAAGGGTTAGATAACAAGAAGCGGTTTCACGTATGAAAAAAACCGGTTGTAATTCTCATTACTAAAAGTGTTGGCGCAAGTTTTGGGGATTCTTTGTAGAAAACATGGTTAGTAGCATTTTTCATAAACTATTGTATCCTAATTATTAATTTATGTACTGAGGCTTACAATACAATACAACAATACAATTCCTCCCTCTCTCCCTCCCCAACGAAAGCCCGACGTGCTATTGTTATTGTCCTTATTATTAGTAGAAGATAATGGATTGTGAAAGATAGAAGTGCAAAGACTACGATGCTCTGGAGCGATATTCAAAAGCAACTCCCTTTCTTCGATATCGTAAATTGAACCTTTAGATCATTTTTTTGGCAAACCTTCTTCATGCATGCACAGCCTTTGCAAGGTTGGCAATCAACTCAAAGATTTTAATGATTCCAGCCTTTCAGAAACAAATTTTGAGATTGTAACCAAATCATTACCAAATTCTGTCCATACACTCGGATAAGTGTTGCTTGAATGTTGCGCGACGATAAAGTATAATAAATTCTTCTATGCTTGATTTAGCTTTTGGAGTGAGGAAGATTGATGTATTGTTCGATTTATCGTTGGTGATTGGTTCAATTTTGGATAGTGATCTACTTGTGTCATTATTACTAGTAAAAGATAATGGATTGAAAATGGAAAAATAGTCTGCCAAGAAATTGTTGCTGATGTTTCGTGCTCTTTGACGCGAGATTTTTAGAGGGTCAAAGTCGTTCTGTAATCCAGACTTGGACGGTTGATTTTTTGACAAAAATATTTGTTCTATATTATTTGTAATTTATACAGTTTCTGCATGTACGAGATTATAAGCCAGTCGTGATATCACCAGAACAGCTTGGGAACAATCGGGAATTCGTCGATACATTTTAAATTTATTTTAGATTATCTTATATTTGCATCGTTTTGCATGGACAAATACACGCATTGTCTTGAATTTAAAAGATGCATTTTTGTATAAATATAGAAAAGTGTAGGACAAATGTATGATAAATTAAAGATGCGTAGACAAATGCCAGCCATTTTTTTTTTCATAGGAATGGGGCATAGAAAACTGACATCACTGCCCAGTAACAATTACATGTAATTTCAAAGAGAACGCGCAAATGTCGAATATTACTTTATTTTTGTGTAATAGATCCCGGTTGCCCCGAGTAATGTTACCCGACTTGCCAACGGCGGGGGCGCATGATAATAATTGTACAAATTAATTTTGATTCATCGACAAATAACACGTATTTCCAAAAATGTTTAATTAATATATGGTTGATACAAAAGAAGGCAATTTAGAAAAGTATGTACCGACTCTGTAACATTATTATTTTCTTTGAGAAGGCATTGGAAAAGGAAATAGCGAAAAACACCATTTTCATTTTTCATTGTTTGATTAAATAATCAATCAAAACACGGTGTAAAACAATTGGTTGAGGTCACGACACGCTAGAATTCCCATTTGAAATTGCACCGAGTGAGACAAATCATTATAATTGGTAATTGTGAATGAGTATTCTTTAGCTAATTTCATATGCTTATTACTCTTAGTTGCACGAACTGCATGTTGTTACAACTCACTCTCGATATAGTGGATCTCTTGAATATGGTAAAGAATTTTTTAGAATCATTAATAAACTTCAACTCGATATAAGCTATCGTGAAGATTTTTTCCCTTGCCCCAATGTCTTCTTCACTATAACGAGGGAGGTTTGAGTATATTATTGTTATTATACGTCGTTTCGGAATTAAGGATGTCTGTCTACTATTAAGAATTTCAGTTTCGACTTGTCTATTAATATAGTTTCGGCATTGACGTTTCAGATTAACGTACGTTGTTTTGGAATTCGAATCGACGTGTCGTCGTTTTAGAATTTGCAATGGACTACGTAATTTTGGATATCCAGAATTTTGAAAGAAGGTAAGTGGGTTCTAGGATAAAAGAATTCCACCTGCGACACTAAAAAAATAGTCAAGATATCAAGAATTTTATTTCACCATCTCGTTTTTATTTCGTTGCTAAAATTACTAGCATTATTTATGCTGTATTTGATCCAGTTTCGTCCCAACGACACTTGGGAGTGCGTGCTAGAAAGGCTGCATAACATAGGCACCATTGTCAAGTAAACACAAAATTTAATCCGTGAATATGCTCAAGAAAGGCCTATTCTATCATATTCACGGATTAATTTTGTGTTTGCCTCTTAGTAAAGAAGTTTATTGAATTTGTGATACAATCCATTGATGCACCGTGTGTATTACAATGACAGGGCTCAGGTGATTCAAGTTCGGTTTATATATAGTAATTTGTTCATTAATTGATAAAATTTTATATACTTACACAAAAATAGCATAAACAGTATGCTGTTTTGAAATCCACGTCGATTCTGGATTGACGTATATAGTCAATCGCAAATTCCGAAACGACGCACATCAATCCGGATTCGACGTGGTTTCTGAATCAGCCATCGTATATATGATTGTTATTTAATTAAAGATATTATATCCTAAATCGTCTTGCAGGCGTGTTGATATATTATGTTTGTTATGACGCAATTTAAAATCTCTTATAACGTTAAACAAGATTATTTTCTATTGTTCTTCGTGAATTGTGAAATGATGTCCCCTTTATCTTTTTCTTCAGATTGATTAGTATTCGTGTTTCTGCTCATTAAAATTTTCACACGGGTTGGATTTTGTCTTTGAATTTTTTCCGCTTCACTGTAGACAAAAATAGATAGATTATCGAATATTATCAATTTTTCTGTGTAGCCAAATTAATAGGCGCAATGATATTCAAAATTACTTGATTATTCTTGTTGGAACCTGTTTAAGCTAGGAAAAAGGAGAAAAACCGATGCTGAAATAAAACTTGTTAAATTAGAATGTTTATTTTAGATCGCCATGAACTCATAGCGCTACTACTACTATAAAAGCCTATCGTTATCCAAAAATGTTTGATTGTTATAAAGTCGATAGCAGCTGTGATACGCTCCACACGGGAATACAGAGTACCGTTGTTACTTCTTAAATTTTCAATTCGCAGCACGATTTGGCTTTTGAATATTAAACAATAAGCACTCAACAATCTAATAAAAAAACATGAATTAAGGGATTCGTTTAACTATGACGTAATTTAACGTGTGAATAACGCTTACTGTGCACGATCACAACCACCAATTCAACTTCTTCCTCAATACCACGATTCTGACCTTTCTTTTTTATGTTCTAATTCAGCGAGCAAAAATTAGGTAAACTGTTGTACTACAATAGTTAATCTAAATCATCTAACAGAAAGATGATAAATCAAGATCGATATGTCGATATGGTAATTTGTATAGCGATGGTTGTGTAGAAATATGTTTTACAAATCACAATTGTATTTGATCGTAAATTAGAAACGAAGGCTGTTTACATCGTGATAAGTTAATTCATTTATTGTTAAATTTTCATGTAGGAAAATGAACCTTATATTTGGCATCTATCTTGTCAGCAATACAAATAGGATAGTGATTCTAGAATGGCTTCGTCATAAGTCTGATAATTTTCCTATTTGATAAAGTGACAATATAATATAGTAAAAAATAAAATTTCCCTTTGGAACTGTAAATCAAAGATGTAAATCAAAGATGTAAATCAAAGATGTAAGTCGAAAGAAGCGCATGGTTTAAAGACTGAAAAGCTAATAGCACATTACACAAAAAATGCCAAATAAAAACGTGACTTGTATCAACCAATCAGATTGCATCACCATTGTCTTTGGCTGTTGTATTAAATTTTCGGGAAGTCTATGAACAGTGCAGGATCACGTGGCCTTCAAAAATTCACGCTCACGTGATCACAGAAAATTGACGTTAAAGGTTTGGATTAGGGTTAAAGTTAGAGCTGAGGATAAGGTTATATATATGTAAAATTGCTTTTCCGACATTTTTTAATAGTACTTCAAGCTAGATTTTGACATTTGTTTTTCACATTTTTTATTTTCTTGTTTCTAAGGCCACGTGATTCAGCACTATTCCGTAGACTTCTCGTTCAATGAATGGGACAAGTCATGTGATTTCAGTTTTTACTATAATTTAAGAAATGTGCGGCATCAGCGTTTAAAATTTGCTGTAATTCACTCCGCACAATTCAGCTAGTATTTTTGTTTTGTGTGACTTGATAGTCATCAGAAAGTATACTAATCATAAAAAACAACAATCCTCTTTTCTTTTACAAATTGATATTGCAGTTGTTAATCAATCGAAGCTGAACGAATAAATAAAAACATTTAATGATCAAGAAATGAAACAAAAATTAATTTTTTCGTCGCACAACCTTCTTAACTTGCACTTTGTTAACTTATCCACTACTACTATAAACATCATTCCTGCTTTTCGAACAACCATGCATTAGATAATATAGTCGACAAAAATTCTATCGAAACCAAACTGAATAGACTCTGAATCTCTTGGCTTTCTCCGCCGTTATGAAATCCATAAAAATCTTGAGATTGCATCGTTAAAATGAACGTTATACGCAATATTTACTTTGATAACATTATCTCTTAAATCATTTAATGAACAAAAATTCATTAGGACAATCAATATAAAGTAGCAAAGCACTTTGGCGACGAAAAGAAAGCAATTTACTGGAATTTACCGGTATTTATCTCGTAAAAAAGAAAAAAATAATAGGTAACAAATAGAAAAGTTTAAACTTTTAAATCAGCTACGGCCATACACAGTGAAAAGCACCAGAACCCGTCTGATCTCCGAAGTTAAGCCACTGATGGCTCTATCAGTACTGCGGTGGGGGACCACGCGGGAATACAGGGTGCCGTAGTTTTTATTCTTTTTCTAAATTCTAATTTTCTT